CCAGACGCCTCGGCTTCCGAAGATGTGGGAAGGAACTCGCCGTCGCTCGGACGTCCACTCCCTGTGCATTCGTCGATTTCGTGCGTGTTACTCTTTTGTCGCAAGATGATCCAGGATGCTCCTCGATCCTCGATAATCCCCGCCGCGAGAACATGCACACGTCCGAGCGATGCCACCGCAGGGGCTTCTGTCCACCGAATTCCCCAGACGACCAAGCGACGTGGCTTGCGCACCAGGGCCCGTCACGGTGGGCGGGCAGAGGACGGGTCGGGGAGGGCGTGGGCCTCGGAGAGGGCGAGTCGCCGAGGTCCCTCCCGTGGCAGTTGCGGGGAGGCCCAGAAACGCACCGGGACGGCGGTGAGCTTTTCTGGCCCAGCGGAGCGGCAGTCGATCCCGACGGGCTCCCAGTCCTAGAGGTTGCGCGAAAGAGGCCTTCCTGCCGCGCGTCGACCACCGTCATGGGCGGCCAGCCGCAGGCGAGTTGGAGGAAGCGGCAAAGGAGGCGACGAGTCGCGGGCACAGTCCTGCACTGCCCAGCTCGGTGGGCATCGGTTGGGCACAGATCTCTCCCGAGCAGCAGGGTGGGGACAGGAGCGAAGGGGCGGATGATTCCCCCCATGCGTTTCCTACTCTCTCTCTCTCTCTCTCTCTGTTTCTCTCTGTATCGCTCTCTCTCTCTCTCTCTCTCGCTCTCTCTCTCTCTTTATCTCTCTCTCTTTCTCTCTCTCATATATATATATATATATGTATATATATATATATATATGTGTACATGTATGTGTGTGTCGCTCTCTCTCTCTCTCTCTCTCTCCCTCCATCTCTATAGATGTCGGAGAGAGCGTGATCCACCGCCGCTTTACTATGGAAAATTGCCAACCTTTTCCTCCGGAACCCGGGGTCCCCCCCCCCCCCTCCGAAAATCCCCCCCCCCCTGCTGGAACCCCTCCCCCCCCCCCCCCCCTCTCCCCCCGGCAAACCCCCCCCCCTCCCCTAACCCCTCCCCCCCCCCCCCCTCCTCGAAAACCGGGGGGGGGTCACTGCCGGTTCGAACCCCTCCCCCCCCCCCCCCCCTCCGGATCCGGAAAACTGGTGGGGGCCACTACCGGTTCGCACCCCCCCTTCCCCTTTCCCCCCCCCCCCCCTACTCACCGCCAGCAAACGACTCCCGGTCCCCACCACCGTCCGCATCACATCCCCCACTGGTGTTCCCAGCACCACTGTCCTCACCACCACTGTCCCCACTGGTTCCACCACCGTCCCTATTGTCCCCACCAGTGCCCCCACCACTGTCGCACTGTCCCCACTGTTCCCACAACTGTTCCCACCACGGTTCCACTCTCCCCACTGTCTCCACGGACCCAACCACTGCCTATCCCCACTGTCCCCACTGTCCCACTGACTCCTCCGCTGTCCCACTGAGCTGTCCCACTGTTCCCACCACTGTCCCCACTGTCCCCACCACTGTCCCCACTGTACCTCTGTCCCATTGTCCCACCGCCGTCCTCGCCGACGCCTTTACCAGTGTCCCCACCACCATTGTACCCTCCACTGTCCCAGTGTTTCCACCTCATTCCCACTGTCCCCACACCACTGTCCCCACCACCACCGTTCCCACCACTGTCCACTGTCCCCCCTGTTCCCACCATTGTCCCCACCACTGTCCCCACCACTACCGTCCCCTACTGTCCCACTGTCCCACTGTCCCCACCACTGTCCCGCTGTCCCCTCACCACTGTCCCCACCAACACCGTCCCCACCACTGTCCGCACCCCCACTCGGTTTTCGAGGGGGGGGGGGGTTCGAACCGGTAGTGACCCCCCCCCTTTTCATGATGAGCTGGGGGGGGGGGGAGGGGTTCGAACCGGTAGTGACCCCCCCCGGTTTTCCGGAGGGGGGGGGGGGGGGGGGGTGGAGGGGGGGGGGGGGAGGGGTTCGAACCGGTAGTGACCCCCCCCGGTTTTCCGCCAGCAGCGGTTAGAACACGCTCTTTCAGATGTCGAGCTGTCTGTATATATCCTTATTCTTGTATATGTTCTATATAACTAGATGTATGTATCCCTCTATAGTATCTCGTTATCTCTCTCTCTCTCTCTCTCTCTGTCTATCTCTCTCTATCGTTCTCTCTCTCTCTCTCTCTCTCTCTCTCTCTCCCCCCCCCCGATACACAAAAATATGTTATACCGGTGTATGTACATATATGTATACATGCATGCATGCATGCATGCATGTGTACATACATACATACATACATACATACATACATACATACATACATACGTACGTACGTACGTACGTACGTACATGCATGCATGCATGCATGCATGCATACATGCATGCATGCATGCATGCATCCATACAGACAGACAGACAGACATGCATGCATGCATACATGCATACATACATATACTTACGCAGGACGAAAGACTTTCCTCTTGAGGTGAAAATGGCCATGAGAAGTTCGCGAGACAACGTCGGCGCCGGAACGGACGGCGACCAGACGAGCTGTTTGCAGCAACCGGGGTGAGAGGAATGTATGTATTCATTTTGAATGGGACCCGCTGGCGCGGGGAGCTGATGGGAGTGCGCGAGACGACGCAGCGCCCATCGTGGAAAATTAATTACCGAACCCCCCATCCCCCGTAGAATCTTAACACAGGCGGTTTGCGGGGTCCGCGGATCCGATTTCTTCCGGTTCCCTGTTTTAATTTAATAATATAAGTTTTAAACAAGTAGAAATCGGATCCGCCGTGAAAAATAAGACCGAACACGGATCCAGCAAATCCGAAATCGGATCCGCGCGGACAAAAATCGGATCCACCGAAACACACACCAAAACCAAAATTGGATCCGCGCGAACTTCATTGGATCCGACGGCTGGTATCTCACACGCGTCTGCTTAAGACTTCAAACCTTCGTTCCGGGCCCAAGAGGAAAAAACTTTCGCCCTGGGGATGTAGATATATGCCCTCTCCAGCCACCTCCAGATCCCTGGCGCGATTGCCTTGTCACCCTGTCCCACGGAGAGACTTGCTTTCCCGACTAAGCCCGCATACGTGAGTCATACTGCTAAAGAAGAATCCCACCAGCCTGGGCGCAGATGATTTAACGAATTCGTTATTCCAGCCTTTGGTATTGCCCTTCGGGGATCAGCTGGAAGCTCTCTCGGGGCGTCGCGGAAGCCACGTGAGCGGTTTCGAAGCAGTGGTCGGCGTGCTGGGAGCGCCGCGGTGCTCTGTGGCCCCCATGAGGGCCCCTTTTGGTGCCCTCCGGGCCCCCTTTGAGGGCTCGTTTGGCGCGCGGAGGCCCTCTGGGTCCCCCATGCGAACCAGAGGCACCGATCTGGACCCCCCCGGGGCTCTTTTGGGCCGTCCTGGGGTCCTCTGGAGCCTCTTGGGGCCCCCTGTGGCGCCTCTTGGGCAGCCTTGGACTCCGTTAGGGATCGGA